GATAGATAGATAGATAGATAGATAGATAGATAGATAGATAGATAGATTATAGAGAAAAATAAAGAATAAAACTCGAAGGATCCAAAGAATGAAATAACATAAAATTTTAAAAACAAACATGTACAGTTCAAAGAAGTGCTTCACATAAAGTACCACTAGGTAAAGGAATAAACAAAGATGTCTTGAGAGACCCAGGTTGAGATAGTCAAGATGAAATTCAAGATCCTGGGAAGCAAGGGATTGTGATGTTTAACAGCAAAAGACTGCAAGATGAGGAAACACAGGGTATTAAAATGCTCACTGTTACAAAGAGAAGAGAAATTTACTTCAGAATGTGTGCTATTGTTGCTTCAAGTTGGAAGTCTGAAGACAAAGAAGACTTCAGAGATGGTGGGGACTTAGACTAAGCTTCTCCCCTGGGAGGCAGAGAGCTCAGTTTATGTAGGTGATTAAGCATTCCTGAATGAATCAGTCAATACTTGGACAGCTTCATGCTTTAAAATGATTTGTAATATATTAAACTATGTAAGAGAGGAAGCTATAATATACTATGTAGGAAAGAAAAGAATAATATCACCTAGCTCTAAAGAATGCTACGTTCTACTTTTAAATATTGAGTAATTAGTATTCTTAGTTTGGCTGGCTGAAAGACTAGCAGAAGTAAAGATTGGGAGATTTTTCTCCCATTGAAAATAAAGACTTTAGAGTGAAAGACTATATTTTAATTGCAGCACAAAGAGATTATGGGGGGAGTGTGTGTGGATCCACCATCAAACATGAAACTCAAATCAATAAGAATCTCGGACATTCACTGACAAAACTTGAATCCAGTGAGCCTCAAATCAGGTACCGATGGTACAGAATAGTCCAGTGAATCTTAGGAGAAGAATTTGCTAATAAAGAATTGTTATTTAATCCCATATTTCCTAACAATATTATCTTTAACTCATACACTAAAATAGAACTTGCCCTTACATTTCGACTCACTAGACAGACCCATTCATTGTCTTCATCAGCTCAAGCCTCAGATGGATGCAGAGCTGCCTTTCAAATCCCTCATGAGAGGGCTTTGGAAGAAAATGGACCACATCATGTGGGTGCTTTTTATAACAAGAACAGATGTTGTTAGAACAAACAAATCTGCTTTTTTGTTTTATGTTTTTATCTTCTTTATTCTACAAGCAAATGCTTCGATAAGAAAGAACAAAGCAAAGATGGATATGGAGAATATTGGCTATGGAGGCAGAACTGTTGGATATATGGGCCATTTAAAACCTCTCCTAGAAGGTAGCATCTGTTTTTTAGGTAATTTTTTCACATCACTTAATTTTTATGACTGGGGACAAGATAAAAGAGAGAATGACAAGCACAAACACAGTCTGTTTGAAACACTACTGCACAAGCATCATGTTAGCCACAGAACTGTAAAACAAGCTTTGGTTTTGTCCAAAGTGTTTTCAATGAAGCTAGCATTTTACAGGTATGGTATTTAAGATATCTAGCAAATGTGCATGGTGGCCAGCTCCAAACACAGCTATTAAAATGCAGAATGTGGCATCCTACAATTAAAATTGTAAAAAGATTAATGGAACTTTTCATGCCCTGCTATTTCCAGTATCAGTAATTCTTATTACCATAAGAGGAGGGCAGGGGGAAATTAACATCACTTTAATTAAAATGACAGGGTCTCTTATCCAATATTCATTTTCAAGTAACAAATTGATAAAACTCAGTGAGTTTTTGTATGTAAACCTCATCTTCTAGAAGTGAAAGGTCTACATCATTTATCTTTAGTCAAGCCTAAAGGTTAATTCATCATACAAGTGAAAAGTGATTTTTAAATTTAGCTGGAAATTTGGGTAAACTGAGAGAGGGTACCAAGTTAACCTGAAGCTCACAAAGGAGATTCAGTTGATAAGTGAGGCAAATTTTTATTATCACAAGCCAAAAGTTAAAACACAGAAACTTAAGCTTGCAATGCTGAAAGATCCAATCCAGAGAGGAGGGATTATTATTATTACTATAATTACTAATATCTTATTATTATATCATCATCATTATTATTATATTAATCAATCAAAAATCTAGTGAAGCTGCACCAGTGAAACAAAGATTGTAGAGTTCTTTCTTGCAGGTAGAGGGTTCCCCCAACAGGAAGAAGAAGAAAAAGGACATTGTTCAAGACAGTTGAAACTACCAAGAATTAACAACCTCAGATTCATAAACGTTCTGACATTGCTCTCTTGGCAAAAACTAAAATGATTCTCATCCTGATCTTCAATGAAATACACATTTAATGTATGTGTTGACGTGTTTCTTTTCTTTCACAGTGTGTACAATAAATATTGATCTCAAGAAACCCTATGATTCTTCTTAGTCTGCTTGAAGATGAGTACTGAGCTATACTGAAGAACTTTCAGCTCCCATCAGTTGACTTTCCAAGATCATGACACTTACGATAAAGAGGAAGAATCCCAGAAGAAGAGTTCTGACATGTAGAAATTTGTAAGTATAGAGGGTCGAATTCTTCATTATTGAAAAGCAAATAGCCTCTAATGACTGTTGAGACCAATAAAACAGTCACTTCCTCTGGCCTTGTATCATCTGACTTAGCATTTTCCCTTTGAGGGAAGCCTTAGCCTCATGAAACACAAACTGATTCTCGGATGAGTGGACAACAGAGAACAAGAAATGGCAGCTAAAAAACACCTGCCAGATTCTTTTCTGGAACCTCTATAGTATCCCAAGAGAAGTCCAGTGTCTTTAAGCAATGAGAATGAATTACAAAATCAAAACAAAATGCTAAAATAAAAACCACTGCTGGCTGCTTGGAGGAAGATGACAATCAAATATTAGAAAAATTTTCCGTCTCAACTTGGCAAATCTACACATGGTAGAGATTAATCATCGTTTTACCTAGTTAGGCTTTTTAGAAAACAAACTATTTATATTGTATAATTTTGTTATTTCCTCCAGAAACAATATAGCCAAGAAAACAAATTACCCTCAATATGCATTTCTGTTCATCTATTGGTATGACATTAATAATTTAAGCTAAGCCCATTGGTTTTGCTCATATACAGACAGTAGAAATTCCTTCCATCTTCTACAAAGGGCTGTTTTGAAAAGTGGGAGGGGAATATTCAAGATTTTGTTTAGATTAGTGAGGACAGGGATAGCTAACATGACATTTTTTTTTACCCCAATTTCTCCATTTGTTTAAAAGAGAAAATAGTACCTTGGTTTTCCTAGGAGCCATGTTCCACATGCATCTACAAGAAAAATCTACAGTGCACTAAAAAAACAAAAATTCCCCTCTTAAAAAAGATATATACAACTCTATATCAATATGGTATGGTAGAAGGATATTCAAATGATTGTGTTAGATACAAACAAAACAAGACAGAGATGGAAAGAAAGCTTACCTTGATTCCATCAGCATCTACTGTGGCAGCCCTCTACTGAGCTCAGGGCACCACAGTCTTTATCACCCATGCTTCCCAGAGAGAACAGAGGTAAAGCAAAGACAAAGAAATGAACTAAAGGAGGAGGATAATGACAGGGAAGCATTTCTATTTTCTGCTTAGAAAATCCAAATAGGTTGAGAAAGAATTTGATTTGCCTTTTAAGTATAAACTTAATGAATTTTCATAAACTGACTTCTAAAGCATGCATTTTCCAAGAAAAAAAAGCCAGATAATATAAAATTACTGTCACAAAGTGGCTCAATTAGATCATTTTATTCTCACCAACGTCTTCAAGCCCCAGGGAGAACTGAGGAGCTTCCCATAGTAGATATGGCATGCAGTGTGCTCAGTTAAGTCTTTTATGAGGAAGTATGCAGTATGATCTGAAGAAGGCAAGGGCCCAACTGTATAGCCTGAGCACTTGTACAATGGTAGAGACACAGCTTTTAATTAAAAACCTTCCTGGGAGCCTAACACAAGTAACATGTCCAGCAATAAACTATTCCTCTGTTCCTCCTCCACTAGAGGCTACCCATCACATGCTGTACTTTCTGGGCTAATGGTACACAGCTACTCACCTGTAGCAGTGTGTCAAGGGACTGTCTACTACAGGATTTGACAAATGGTGAATAAGAAACAGTGAGGCCACACAACCAATGTGATATTGAGGATAAGGTCAACACAATGAAAAACATCCTTCATGAAGCTTGTCTAGTGAAGGCTGAGGAAGTCTGAAGGGACACAGACAAATTAAGGAATACAACAGTCTCGGTAGAGCTGTGTTCTACACGTTTAGAGGGAATGAGGTCCCTGTGCTCACAGATAAGCAGAATAACCAGGAATGTTAAACAGGCAGTATTGCCACTTAAAAGA